TTTAGTACCTCTCCTCGACAAAATACTTTCCTCGCTGCTCCTCTGAAGTCAGACAGAAATATGATGTATATGCAAGGACTGAAACAGGAGTTGATAATAGGTAGAAAATACTTCACAATAATACGAAGAGACCTTAAGTCAATGCAGACCGATGAATTGGTCAAAATACCAGGTGCATCCTTTGGTAGAATGAAAGCGTCGACTACCAGTAAAAGCTGATGTATGAATTTAGGGATAAAGCAGAGAGGATATAACAATGCCGAAACTAAAACCGTTCGAACTGCTGCTTCAATTCGACGTTTTCGCATGTTTAACTGTTCTCTGCTTAAATTGGCTTGGATGGGCAGTGGTTTGGACAGTCGTCTTGTTGTTTGAATGCTAAGAACAACTATTACGCAACATACAATAAGGATCAAAAGATTGTAAATCGACAGAAAATAAAACGCTAATGGACCAGATCCTCGTCTAACATCTATCATACAATCACCCTTAGTGGAGAATGCTACTAGATACGTCGTGCAAACAGAGGCTGGCAAGGGAATCAACCAGCAGAAACCAAGTACAGCAAAACGTTGTTTCTTGGTGAGTCTTTTTGAATTCTGAAAAGCACTTAGTCCTACTGCTTTAAATCGTCCGATGCTGATAACTAAGAGGCTGAATAACGACACCTTGTATGAGGTTTCTTTGACAAAAGATGTAAGTTTACAGAATATTACACCGGCCAATGTACTGGTGGGATATATCGATTTAATGCCAGTAAGCCGTGGACCATCACTCAATAACAACATGACGAGAAATAGAGCATCTGATACGGCCATGTTAATGATCAAATGATGCAGGTTCTTACGTTCTAGGAATTTGACAGCGAGTATGATGACGAAGATGTTGAGAGAAATCCCTACTGTAGTTAGGAGAGCGAAGACTACACGTATTGAAATTTGCTCTAAATCGCTATATGGTTCATTGTACTTGCAGTGGGTGTTTRCCGARCTKGTGTTMGAGAAATTGTAAAGTACTAAGCTTGACTCGTTCATCCTTGTGTAGTTTATCTGCCTACACTTTGTGTATATATGTTCGTAAAATTACACAAAGAATGACACGGGGACACTCCTTTATGTCTAATGGTTAAGTCACAAAGCATGAAAGATGTTCTCTGAGGGAGTCTTTTTAAAATTAAAATTTATTTTGATCCAAGCACTTCAGCTGCTGGAMTATGCATGCCAGTCAATCAATCCATCATTGGTGAATAAAACAATATATTTATGAYGCTATAGAGTAGTTATTTGAAAGTTATTATTTTCTTTAAACAAACAAAAAACATTAATWTAAMGAGCCCTTCTGCAGCTYAGAGTAAATCGCTTTCATGATTTTAGGTCATTACCCATGTGTAGTGACGACATTTTGCATGGCAAGGCATCATAGAAGCAGCATTCGATCTMAATTCATGTATTTTAATGTCATAATAAAATTACAAATGTGTTCAATATACAAAACGTTTAACATGTTTTAAATTTTGTGACTATTCATATTTAATATATTTTAGGACAGCCCATATGTTAGYCTAAAAGTAAACTTTGTTTTGCCAATCATAAGCTGATGTAAACYTACATATGGCACGTTTTAAATTGCAAATACTATGAAGAGAATAATAACTTTGCCAAAGTAAACCTCGATACAGACTCCACATTTCCATAGGCTACCCAACTATTGCTTGAGAGAAAGAAAAGAACGAATACGCACGCTTTTATATTATGTTATCGAATCGCATCGCGCTGCGGGTTTCCTGTGGTATTACGTCATTGATCCCTTGCCTCGCGGGTATGTTTTCGAAACGGCGCGCGCTTCGGGTTACTTTACGTCACGATCCAGAGCCTCGCGGGATACAAACTAGTCTGTTTGTATCCCGCGAGGCACGGGACGTGACGTAATACCACAGGTAATCCGTATTTCACTAAGAGCGCGCGCCGATACTAGTACTAGCGATACTAGCGTAAAAAGCGTGCGCATTCATTCTTTTCTTTTTCTCAAGCAATAGTTGGGTAGCCTATGAAATTTCAGGAAAAATCAGCTTTAAAAAAGCATTATGCAAATTTTGTGACGTAGATTTGGTTATAAATTGYCGCAGTGTTAATGCATAATAATAATAATTCTTTAATCTACAAATACCAGAAATGGTACATTAGAACATAAAAAAAATAACTTAAAAAAAGATGTACTAGCTGTCGAAATTATTGTACAGATTTACAACATTAAAACAATGCATGTGATAAATGTCAGGCAAACCTACGTCACAAAGTTGGCATAATATTAAATTTCTCTAAAATAGGAACCCTTGCAGTATCCAATGTTATTATATACACTTGAAAAAACGTGATATAGGATTCATAAAAATTTTACATCAACAAAGCTAAGACTGAAAAGGAGCATAAAAAAATCAAATATAACGAGTAAAACAGTGTTTCAGTACCATAAGATTGCCTGCACTTGAAATATAACGAGTAAAACAGTGTTTCAGTACCATAAGATTGCCTGCACATGCCTTGGCAGATACATTCGTTTTTGAGTATTTCGATTTCTGAGTATTGAAATTCCCCTTCAGGGTTAGCTTCAATGATATTTAAGCATTCGTAGATATTTTCCATGTTTCTATTCTCTGCTAGGAACAGTAATTACTGGGAGTACACGAAATGTTTTGAATCACGAGTTCAAAGCGAAACCGTGTTTCTGTATTCTCATTTTTGTTCACTAGCTCAGAAAAAACAAACAAACAAACAGACAAACAAGAGAGCTAAATTTGGTGTCAAGTGGTTCTCATACATCGATTTACAAGTCTCTACTCTCACGTTTTTCTGTCTTTTCTTGTTGTATAACACTTTAATAATGAAAACCACTTTATCTCTTTAWTGTTCACAGAAATGAGCCAATTAGAGTGCGCGTTATATCTACTTTATAAACAACGWTTTTATTGGTACATATAGGGATCTAGTACGAGCCCTGAATCATTGCTTTATAGCAAATTGAATTCTATTTAAATTATAAAAKGTAATATTCTTATTTCTCTGGCTTACTCTCTGACGGAGGTAAGTATTTCTTTTCAGCTTCGTTAATCAACTGTTTCCCAGTATCCTTTGCAGTCCTTTTAGCCAAGGCCCTGGAAAAGTTCCAATTGTTTATTAGTATTCGTGTCTTCTGGACTGCTTTGCTAACTTTCGTTTTGGGTAGCCGTTTACGGTTTTGCAAGATTTTATCCAGTTGCTTAACTACCTCTTGGTTAAATGAAATAAAACAAAAAGATAAAAGAACGAGCCAACAATGAGCATTATTTTACTCCTCCAATCACAAGAAGCTTCAAAAAATCGACAAGGATACAGGTCGTGTTCGACGCAAAAATCAGACCTCATGCGCGCGGATGTGTTTTTTGTATTATATAGAAGAAGGAGAATAACAATAATAAAATGCTACGCCCAGTCAGTGAGCACAACACCTGCCGGTGTTAGCTAGATCACAATGTACTATAATTCTGTATTCCAGAAATGGTTTATGCTTGCTACAATCACACATACAATTACATACAATTTTCGAACACAATTATCAATATCGATAAAAAATATATATATACATGTACAATACATGTAATAGCAGAAACTTACTTGACTCCGAGGTTATCCACATTCCAAGCAGTCTGTTGAATAAATTATCAAAAATGTTTTAGTGATTGAAACACTACAGTTGTTGGACGACACCGTTTAAAACGTTTTCCCGCGCTTTTGGTTTAATGTCTGCCAAACACTCCGTATCACCATTTGATCATCTTTTTTATGATTCACAGTCTGTCTAACTATCACAATCCTGCATGATTTATCAACCAGGTACTATTACTACATCGTTCAATACCTGCAACGCGAAGCCTAAAGCTCCTAGRGAATTATTAGCAGCCTCTCCAGCTTGAGATCCATATCTAGACATTGAATAATAGAAAAGTTWTTGAGCGCGAGCTCTGCAATATGGTAAACTATCTGGTCGATGTCTTGGACGTACGGAGCGTGCGCAGGGACAGCAAGTAGGATACAAAATTCTATACAATAGAGGCACATCATATACGGTATATTACGTAAAAGCTTCAGAGCCGGTCTATCGGCTATGAGCACTCACTTGTGATCAACTGTTTGTACAGTAGCATGCTGCAGACTTTTATACAACAGCTTCCAAGACYTTTCAAGTCCTTCATACACTGCTGCAAATCCTAAAATATGAACGAACACCTTGAATGAATGGATTGATGGTYAACTGAATGAAAGGAGCAATGTCTTAAATAAATAGATGGATAAATTGACAGTTGTCTCATTCAAAAGAGTCCTGAAGTGGGATAGCGAATCTCATTTTCCAATTTCATATTTGGACCAGATCCCATTCAAAGATCACATAATCCCATCAGTTTTGTTCAAGTTTTCAATCCTATTCYCAGTTTCTACTGTTCTTTTACTTGTAAATCCCAGTCCTGGTGTATTCAATCCCATTTTTCAATCAAAAAAGGACTACTATACTAGTTATCCCGGCCCYAATTTACACTTTCAGTGACCCTTGGAGACACTTGGACGTGAAGGCGAGCGAGTATTCAGTAATGAGTTATACATGACGTACCATAGGCACCACTGACAGCCACCTTGACTGCTTCTTTGACGGCCTTCTGTCCGCTTTCATCACTAGTCTTCTTCTTGACAGCTTCTGGTAACATCTAAAATAGATTAAAATGTACAGTCCTAAGCTGTTGTTTCTCTTTGTTTCTCTTCAACAAACTTGAACGCCAAATTTCACTCGACASGATTGGAGTTATTTGCATTAARTTCAGCACGGTTCCGRCGTTTGAAATTGGCCCAGCACCATGATATATAAAACGGATATTTCAGAAAATGTTGAATACTGAACTGATACTGYATACTGCATAGAGCATTCCAAGACCGCAATGCATTGTYGATATTAAACTCTACGTTGRCTGCATTACAAAATGACAAGGCTCAACTTTATTGTTTTCCGTTGAAGTTGTTGACTATATGGTGTTCTACAACAGAACGACCAACAATTCATTTCAGTCTTGGAATAGACTCCAACAGTATCCAGCGTTTTCTGAAATAGCTGTTCACGGTATACAATATGTATATGTGTTGGTATACAATTGATATGCATAAACAAAGTTAGGATACCTTGCCTCCTTTTTCAACTACGACTGGAGCAACAGCTTTGGCAAGTTCTTTAGTCATTGCAGCCACAGCACTCACCACAGTACTACTGACCTGACAAGCAACACCTGAAACAATTAAATATATGAATGTTATTGCTTCGTAACATTTTAAGGTTGAGCACAATTTTAGTGTTTTGTACTCTATTTCACTTGAAACCATAGCACATTTCGCCCCATGACATTGACTGCGACGTACAACGGAATCAGGCAAATATTTGGCTATGGAATCTGGAATTTGCGGCAATCAAAACTGAATCTGATAAAACAAGACGGAGAAATACGGAAACCAAATTCGACGACAAAAAAAGCGAGGATGTTTGATGAATGTGCAATATGATATAATCCTGAATTTTTGCAAAATCTTTCATGGAATCCACAATCCAGGTTTCAGATTCCCTRTCATTCCTTACCTGCTACAGACTTGACATGTCTTATGTTTTCTTGTACTTTTGCATCTACTTCTGTTGGCGTTTCATTTGGTTTTAAAGACGATCTGATTTTAACACCACCCTGCACGAATTTGACAAAAGTTCAAGCCCTTGATAATGATTGATCTCAACAAAAAATGACAGTTTTTGTACCTGATGTACAACTTGCGATCCTGCTTCAGCACCCTTGACAAGACCCCAAGCAATCATTTCTGCTGCTACACCTATCCCCTGTAAGATAAACAAGTCCTTTGTATTCAGACAACAACAAACAGACAAATAATAAACAATAAATATTGGGTATTACATACCATTGATATTTTATCACCCCATGAAAGCTGTACCTGAGAAACAATGGAAATTGAGTTGAGTGTTCAAAGAGCAATAGATATCTACTCTCTTGACAATATAATCAGGTCTCTATACTAATTCTAATGATTTTCTTTCTGGAAAATCAGGCCAATGAGCATCGTTTAGTGCCCACTATTGGAAAAAATTGGGCGATGTATGTTCCAATTTTTCTTAATCTTTTTGGTAAACCTAAATCGGAGAACAATTTGTCATCCTCCTTCTTTCATCTCTTGATTTTCCTTAYGGTTGAAACACTGAAAATACTGGGCTTTACTTTTATATTTAAAGTTTGAACAATCTTCACCTCGTCATCATCCCTAATTGCAACATCTCCAGGTTCTGGTCTGATGGTCGGTGTCATTTCCKYGGCTTGGTTTCCTTGCTKAGAAAACTYTGACCCTTCCTGAACATGTGTGCCTACATGCGGAGGTTCAAAAAAAAAAGAAACAATATTTGAATAAAATAACAAGCCAGGACATAAACTTGAAAACATTTCAATGAACAACAAATAGGACAAAATTAATTCAATGATAAAAATGAATATAAAACAATAATCAAACATAGCAAACAAACAAACAAAAAAGGGAATAACATAATAAATATAAAAWATAATCAATTAGTTAAGTTAACACTTATTATCAATATCACTCATTATGCAATATGGTATAATTAAGAAATATAAAATGGCGCGCGTGTCTCTGTCCTTTATATCAGAGGACAGAGACACAAGCGGCCGTTTATATTTCTTTTATAAAATTTTTCGAGCGAAAAGAAAATTTTGCCGGTAAGCCGTGTCTCTGTCCACTGATATAAACACGGTCGTCAGCCAATCAGAGCGCGCGTTATATATCGGAAATTTAATAATATTAAATATATTGCATGTTACGGCACAAGACTTTGTAGTCAAATCTATCTGATGAAAGCATCACTTACTTGTGACAGTCGGCAAGCTTCCCTGATCATCACAGGCCAGTTCCTTGTATACTTTAGGAGTTGGTGTGTAGTGATTAAAATCTGTATAACATTCTAATATTCTCTCAAACCTCTTTTGTTCTGCTGTGGTTATGTGAGGATTAAGAATTAAGCCAACCGATGCAAAAGCTTTCTTGGATCGAGCTGGCAAAGGAACATTTGGGTTGATTGCTATGTCAGGGAACATATATGTGTGGGGCTCAGTGTTGAGAACTGGGGATCTTTTGGGTATCATGGGAAAGACCCAACCACTACATTGTAAGAAAGCAGGTGGGTGTGGACAACCTGTAAACAAAAAGCAAAAAGATTTACTGTGACAATTAAGAATTTCTGAGTTGGGTGCTGCATCTGGTGTTGCATCATCTTTTGGAACACCAGTTGGTGGACGCCTTTTTGAACTTTCAAAAATATTGCAGGCATAAGCCTWTTCTGAAATACCTTTCCGCATTGCATTGTGGTCTAGATTCAGTACAAACATCTTTAGTTTATGCATCCTAATATGGTGTTGTTTGTACTGAAGCTAGACCACAATGCCCCATGACTTTTTAGTTAATAAAACGTCTATGCAGCTAGCACTCATAATCTTTTCTCTTATTTTGCCTTCAAACATAAACTGTCGCTGCGCTCACTCATGAGAGCCCTTTCAAAACTTGAAGGTAAAATTTGTATTTCTGTGGGCCCATGTAATATCCTCTATGTCTTAAACTGCTACAAAAGCCTAAAATTAGGCAATTACTTTCCAATACCTTCTTCGTATTTTACAAATTGATAGGCACGAAGTGTCTGTGCTTCTGACAATGTTGTAACATTTCCCAATTCACTGACAAAGAACATCTTAACACCTGCGATAACAGGATAAAATCATGATGATTAGAAGATGATATTAGAAGCATCAGTTTTATTCTATTTTAATGACACAAAAACAATAAAATCAACCTACAACCATCATTATTTGACAATAAAAGTAGTTGGATATCCTTATATAAAAGGGGAGGGTGTCCTCGTCATCGCTTTTCTGGTTTGAAATTGATGTTTTTTGCTCCTTTTTTTGGGAGAAAGACAAGACATCTTGCCAAATGAGTTTTGAAGCCCCTTTTATAGAATATTACTTAGGCCCTATGCACCAATGCTGATACATCATAATAAATTGACTTATAGAGCAAACAGCATTTGATGCTATGCTAGACATAGTCATGTTACAGTACAAATTAGTGTGTGCTGATACATCATAATAAATTGACTTATAGAGCAAACAGCATTTGATGCTATGCTAGACATAGTCATGTTACAGTACAAATTAGTGTGCCTGTATGTTCAGGTAACAAGAAAGTCTTATAAACAATAATGATTGCATGGTCATATAGAGCAAACAGCATTAGATGCTATGCTAGAGGTAGTCATGTTACAGTACAAATTAGTGTGTCTGCATGTTCAGTTAACAAGAAAGTCTTATAAACAATAATGATTGCATGGTCATATCATTGACAGTTTTAAAGTGATAATTACTAATATATAAAGTATCACCTCTTTCCAAGACCAGAAGCTCGTTCACATCCTCCCACATTCCACCCTGTGCAGTTGTTGTAAGGGTYGAGTGGTCTACTCCATTTGAAATTGATTCAGAGCTTTGTGTGGTAGCAACAGAGTTAGCTGAATCTGATGAAGTTGACTGTAGAGAGGCAATTCTTTCCTCCACTTGCCCCTTTGCCCTAATCAAATAAATACAATTAAATTAATGTTTATTAATAACTGAATATAATGTTGTATTACTGCAACTAATTATGGATAAGTTGTTATAACATTTTAATGTGATATCAATTGCAAATACAATAGTTTAATAATAGGGCAATATAAATCATAAGCTTGTTGATAAGGACATATAAGTTGGTTGCCCAGTCTGGAAATGGAACCCAATCCTGTATTTATGATGTCTCACTGATGTTTGACCTATGTCATAATGTTCTATATAGATCTAACTAATAATAAACTTTGAACTACACTGTATAGATGCAAATATATATGAGCATATCAGTTGATTAAACAATTTGTTATGTTGAAATGACACCTACAGTTTCATTTTCTCTTGTAATTTTCTTGCTCCTTCATAGCTGGATCCAGTTCCATTACATGGCACAGTGCTTCCCAAAGTGAGATTTCTTAGTCCTTTATTGTACAGAAGAAATGCTTTCTTTGTTTCTCCTTTCTCGTCAAAACTCAAAGCTTCATTAATGAGCCTTAAAATTAAAATCAAATGAATATAAGCTGCTATGTCGAGCTATAATCTTATTGGAATCGACTAAAGTTAGATCAGCTTATAACGTTATACGACAAATCATGCTACGATTTTGTTAAGATTTAAGTAAGTACAGTCATTAAAAATAGCTCCATATCAATGAAAGCGAAAATATGGGAAATTAACTTTAAGTTTTAACGTAGACGTAGAACTTGGATTTAGGATGTAATCTTAMTTCGAGTTTTCCACAGAAAAAGAACTTTGACGATTAAAATCAATTGTCAAAACGTAATCAAGTACCTGAAAGCTTCGTCGTGATRTGTCCTTATTTTAGACGGTGCACTGTCGTCCATGCTTGCTATTCTCAATTCAAAATGTAGTATGAGTTTGTTATATTACCAAATGCTCTAAATTTAGAACATTATTCACYGATMCGCCATCTTTAWAAACACCACAGGAAGCCCAATATAGATTTCTGTATTCATTGTGTTGCTATTTTAATTTTTTTAGAAGTTTTTTAATGTATAGTCGACTTTAGGCTAAGCATACAATACTTTTCAAGATATAGTTTTTAGGAGGCGATGGGATTTCTGCTTGCAGCACTATGTATACCTAGAAAACATTTATTTATGGTTATGGGTTTCCTGTGGCAAGTACTTTCGTGGCACTCGCTCTTTATTTTGCATAGTATTCTTTTCCATGCATCGCAAATTATAGAAAGCTTGCAGTTAATAAGAAGAAACCCAGACTGGAGGACAAAACAATGGTTATAGTAGTTGGTTTTGTCGTCCAGATGAAGCTGCTTTGATGTCACATGCAAGGGTATAATGACTTTTACTTTTTTCACGGATTTATGCAAACCATTCTGAACTCTAGCTATAAAGTCCTCTTACGCGAACTGCTATTCTCTGGGCGCTTCATTTTCGAAGCACCTTCTGTCCACAGGTGTCACGGCTATAAGCACAGGGATCCCAAGAAAATGATTTTGAATCTCGAATCGTTAGAACGTTTTGGAAACTACTGGGCACCATATGAATTCTTAACGTCTGTTCCTTACAACCACATGTTGATGTGGTGCACAAGATCGGAGGGGTAGACACCGATGACCTGGGATTTGTCTATCTCCTACCCGGAAGTAGGCTTTTCGACATGTGATGTGGCTGAACGATTTTCTTTCCTTCCCGTTTTTTCTTTTTTTCCCCCTTCCCTTCGCGTGTACTGACGATCACTTGTATTGGTTTGAATGCGTTGCGCATGAAGTTCACTACATTTTTCAAACTGAGGAGCGTTGCGTGACGACAGAGGCGGCGGAGGTTAAAATGTTATGCGGTATGCATTTATAATCAGGTAAAGACGTTAACTTGGCTTGTTGCTACAGTCTAAAATAAGTCTACGGCAGTCACAACAAAACAAAAGAGAAATTTAAAAAA